TACCTTCCAATAAACTCGTTCAAAAAAGGCCAATTTAGAGCATGCAGATATCTGTCTATGTTGGGCAAATGGAGAGTTGGAGGGATTCTTTTTGTTCCTCCCATTGTCTTAGCGTTGGTTAGTGAGTGCAGGTTGAACATATGACTTTACATTACAGAGCACCTCTCCATCATGCAAGCCTTTTGTCAATTCACCAGATGTGACAATTATAGCATTTCAGAGATGAGACTTTCTAATCCTATTACTTATTCATCAACCTGCGAATGATAGCAGAAGCCAGATTGAACAGTGCCAAAAGAGCAGTGAGGAGCCTTCTCCAGTGCTGTGAAACTAGGCTTAGCTCAGGCACAATAGGTGTGTAATTTAAGGTTTTGTTGAGCTGAAATCCAATCACATACTTGGCTGCTGGATCACAGAAAGACACAGACAAAAAGAATGAGATAATTCTACCTCACACAAACACTTGAATCCGGCTTTGACTTAATAACAAGTGTGTGATCAACCTTACACTGTTTCTTTGATTTTTTTTTTTTATTTGAACCTAGAGATGGGATGGCACTAGAGTCTTTATCTGATACTTGGATATCAGGCGGTAATACTAAAAAAAGAAACAATAGCAAACCCTAAACAACGAATCAAAACAAAAAAACCCAGAATGGTGGAACTTGGTTAGACAAATGGAAAAAGTACAGATGTTCATTATATAAAAGATAATATGAAAGTTTAACTTCTGAGCCTAGCTTAGTGGTATCTTGCCAGCATCTGGTACCTGTTGGTTTCCCAAGGATGTGGAGGATCTAGCAGAAATATAAGGATAGCAAAGCTAAAGAAGTTAAACCTTGACTGTCGAAGTATAAGTCCTCTGTTAAAACCATAGTTTTGGTGCCCACTTTGAGCTCTTTGAACAGGTTAAATGGGATTAACAGTGCACGAAATTTGATACTAATTTGTAGGTGTCATGACACTCAGAAATACAGAGACCCCAAACTAGAGGAGACATTAAAACATGAATGCAAACCCAGTGCTAGGAAAAATAGCAAAGAGATCTAATGGTTCAGGCCTGGCAGAAGAGTAAGTGCTCTAGGACAGTAGTTGAAAATGTGGTTTTTTTTAATTAAAGTTTGCAAATCAAGAAATGCCTTCAAGCCACATGACTTGAATGTATATGTAAGGCTCCAAATGCCTTAGATCCAGTTACATGAGTATTGGGTCACTAATGTGCCATCAGCCCAGTAGGCAGCCCATGAACATGAGCAGGGTATAACTCACATGGAAGCCAGTTGTCAAAGCTAATCTACAGCAACAGGTAACACTTGCACTGTCCTTGTATCAAAACAAAGGAGCCAAGCCCTGGTGTCAGTACTCCAGTAGCTGGGAAAAAAAACCCAAGGAGCTCAGAGAGATAAAAAGGAAGGGAAATCCTGAGGATCAAAGAGTTAAAATGAAGTTTGAAGCTTGGCATTAGTCATAAGAGACCAAAATCCAGACAGTGTTTTGCTAAAGAAAAAATAAATAAATTACCAGTTTGCAGGATTTTAGACTCAAAAGCATACAGAAACAACATAAACTGAATTTTTTTTGTTTATTTAATAAGTGAATTAGTGGGCGGAAAATCCCACGTCAATGAAACTCATATTCAGGCATGATACAGAGATAAATTTTCAGTGGTTCATAGGAATAAAGGGAGATTGAGAAGTGCTCCAAGCAGAGGGAGAGGAAAAAGAAGATATCCACAACATGGTATAATCTGAGAGGCTCAAATGGAGTCTAATGTGGCTCCCAAACTGCAGAGATCTCATAAACATAGAGATTTCATTCAGCAATATAAACTCTGACATTTGACCAGACAATTGCCTGCGGGGCATTAGCTAAAATAGCCTCAGCTTTAAAATTGAAACATGAACTTCTGAAGGCTTTGGTGGTTGCTTTCCAGTGACACTGAGGCAACCAATAGCAATAGTGGCTGCTGGATATATCAGCATCCCTAATTTAGAAAGAGGCTGGAGATTTTGGCTATGCTTAGTTGTGATGCCCTGTCATCTAAAAACAATCTTTCCCTTTGGTTTGCATAGGTAGGTCAGCTGTCTTTCACCAACATGAAGTCAGGTATAGTTTTCATCACCCTTTTGCCTGTCAAGGAGCCAAACAACACAGTTGTTAATGGTGCGTACCACAGTCATTGCATGGGGCCAGTGGTGCTGCTCCTGGGTTGTGGCATTTGCAAAGGTGATCCTGGAGAGGCTGAATCCTTCCCTGGCTTGGGGAGTGCCTGTGCAGGGTAGAATGGAGATTACTGTCATCTTCCATCCTTTGGGGAGGAGGTACCAAGCATTTACCCTCTCCACACGGCATGTGGGTTTTATAATTAATTTTTCTAGTTGAACACAGTTTGGGTTCCTTTGTACTGGGAACCTCAGTCATGAGTGCCAACCCACTGTGGAGAAGACCCTGAGGGTGAGAGGCAGTTGCTAGAATAAATGCAATTGTTGATGGCCTCTGAGGGCTGCAAGTGCTCTCTGTGGGAGCTGTTTGATGTTGCTGACCCCACACTGAATTGGGAGGAGTAGGAAACTGTGTTCAGCACTATCTGTATGAATGCATCTACTAACGACCTGTGCCTGGTAAGGTGTTAACACAGGCACAGTGCAGCCCTTCAGTAAGTGCTCTCCCTTTATAGATGTGTGCACCCTGCTACTGTATTTTCAATAGTTATGCTCTTTTCATGATGTTGAACAGCTTCAAAATCCTACCCAGGTTAAAAGTGAGAAAGTAAACGCTGTTTGTTGCTGCTGGTTTCTCGATATCCTGGAGGAATGAGAATCATACCGGTTTTAGTTTGCTTCAGACTACAGATCAGGAGATTCTGACCTGACCCATCTCTCCTTTAGCTACGAAAACAACTGCCAGGACAGCTATGTGACTTTCCTGCTTTTATCCAGTACAACAACAACAACAAGCTAAACCAGGTTACAGCTCTTGCTGACCACAAAGCAACTTCCTTTGTGTGCTCCCAAGGAGAACTGGAGTTTGGTATTATTAGTATGGTCCCTTAAACTCCATGGGTTCGTTCCCTCTCACACCAGCTCTGTGTCACAGGTCCCTGCTGACTTCAGCAAGACATCATGTGGGGAGGAGAGCCAGCTTAGTAAGATGCCTACGTACTACACATCTGTACTGGTTGTCTGTGGTCAGGTGTTGATAGCAGGGATGGCCTCTGCTAGAAGAGACTAGGGGCTGCCCTGTGCCAGATGCAGCTGAAACTGTCTCTGCAGTGGACCCACCGCAGGGCATTGTTGACCCCATCAGTGAAGCTGGTGGCAGCTCTTTGAAAATGTTATTTAAGAAAGGGCAGAATGTTGTACAGCCAGGGAGGAGTGAGGGGAAAATGGTGTGAGAAATAGCACTGAAAGCACCATAAGTCACAGAAGAGTGCTCCAGGTAATGGAGCAGGTTTTTCCCTGCAGCCTATTGAATGGACCACAGTGGAGCAGGTATTTCCTGGCAGCCCATGGAGGATTATGCCAGAGCAGATACCCGCAGGACAGCCCATGGAGCAGGTGGACATTTCCTAAAGGAACTATAGCCTATTGGTAGCCTACATAGGAGCAGGTTCTCCTGGCAGGAGCTGCAGCCTCAGTTGAAAGCCCATGCAGGAGCAGATTTCTCCTGAAGTACTGCAGTCCATGAAAGGATAAACACTGAAGCAGGGGGAAAGTGTAAGGAGGAAGGAGTGGCAGAGAGGAACTTCTATGGACTGACTGCACCTCCTGCTCCCCATGCTGCTGCTTGTGAAAGGAGGAGGTAGAGAAGTTGGGAACAAAGAAGCAAAATTGAGCTTGAGAAAATGGGGTAGCATGGGGGAAGGTGTTTTAGGTTTTGTTTCGTATTATCCAAAACTATTTTAATTGGCAAATTATTAGATTAATTTTCCCCACGTCCAGCCTGTTTTGTCTGTGACAGTAACTGGTAAGTGATCTCCGTCTTTACCTTGACCCATGAGCTTTTCCATCATATTTTCTACTTCTGTGCTGCAGAGAACAGGGAGTGAGATAACAGCTGGGTGGGCATCTGGCCAAGCTCAACCCATCATAATACAGGTTTCAGTGAGTTTCAGTAGGAAAAGCAATGTGAAGTTGAGTTGTATAACTTTAACCAAGAAGCATGAATTATATTTTGTGTCTATCCTGAGTGTGCAAAGTGTTCAGTTTTGGCAGACAGTAAGGCAGAGTGTGTATTATAATGCAAAACATTTGGTCCTTCCCTAACTTCTCAAATCAAAAGAGCCAGAACAAACAGTGCTTCTTCCCCCTTGCCTTTCTTCCACCCTCCCTTTGCCCTGATCTCTATGGTGCTTTGGCAACCTGTGCAAGCAGTGGCAGACCCAGCTACCTCACTAAAATCCTGCTCTCTGTAGTAGTCTTTAAAAGGTCAGCCACCATGGGCCCATGGTGGATGTTTTTACATGATTCCTTTCTTTTTGTCTTTGTATTCTTTTCCTTGGTTCCTTGTCAAACTTCAAGAGAACTCTTGAAGGCTACAGAACTGGGGGCAGGTTTGGCCTGAAAGAAATTTAAGTGCCGTGTTTCTGTCTCTGTAGATCCCTGATCATTGCTGTCTGTTGCTGTGAAGTGTCAGACCCTGTATTGGTTGGTCACTAACAGCAGCAACACTTAACGAAGTTGAGTGAGGATGATGTTTAAGCATTTCTCATCCTAAGGAGCTACCATGGCAGCTGTGGAAGGCTCCTACAGTCTGGGTGTGCTCTGAATAACCTCTCTCACTATGGTTCACATTAAAAATTTTGATTTTCTGTCAGACTGCTGCTCCCCTTCTCCTGAGCTATCAGAGTTGCAACACTCTGTAGAAGTCATTTACTTGCCAGCGGTACTGTTAGCCCTTTGTGAACAATTAAGCTGAGGTCGGAGGTTGTAATATATCAAATTTGCGCACTGTATTAAATTTTATTTTTACTGAAAGGAACTTTTTGTCTCTTTTATCAGGAGGAAAATTAAGCTGTGAAGTGGAATTCCATCAGGCTGTCTACTGTGAAGCCCTGTGGCTTTAGCAAAGGGGCAGCAGTGGTCAGAAATGACACTCAAAAGGTAAATTTATTTCTTTTTTATTAAAAAAGATAAGTTATGACCTGTACAGTATATCTTAAAGAAGGCGGGAAGTTAACACTGTACACTGTATTTTCCCATTTCTTTTAAAAAGCCTGATCTTGCAATGTGTAGAGAAGTTCTGAGCGGGAGGAAAGGGGGTGTGGAGCTACCACTGAAGTTGCATGGCACAGATGTACACACCCTCCATACCTGCCTCACCAGCAGCAGCCTCTCATTTTGCTTACTAGATGAAATGTTGGAGGCTCTCTTCTGGGCTAAAAAAGGCATGGAAGTGTGAGCTAAATATTCTGCCTCTCTAATTACAAATGGACAAGGGGTTCAGGGTAGGCTTTTGAAAAATACTTTCTGTTTGATTCTGGCACTGAAAATTGCTCAAAGTAGTTTTAAAAACCTTTGAAAAGACATCTTAAGGGAGGGACACTTCTTTCACCAAACCCACCAGGAGGTTTGCTAGTCTGGGTCAGTTTCAAAAGTTCTGTTCAAATTTACAGTCTTTGTGAATTTTTGCCATTGTAAAAAATTGTTATTTAATAAATGAAAATAATTTTATTATAAAACCAAACTACAGTGTCATTCCCTGGTTTCCAGAGGACAGACATTCCCAGATGTGCTGGGTACACTGCCAGGCTGGTGCTGCCTTTTACCTCCCTGGGGTTGTATTCTGTAGTTCACTGAAAGAATTGTTTTTTGGACCTAAAAATGCAAGTATATGCTCGTTTTCTTCATATAGGTATAGGACAGTCCTTTGTCTCTTGCATGCGTATATGTGCAACTTCAATAACTTGCTGATCCTGTCACTGTTTACACAACCTGCCCTCTGCATGCGTCTGACCAGCTGTGGTTTTTACATGGACATGTTTGATTTTGTGCACAGTGTCTGAAGCTACCGAATTAGTCTGCAAAGATCCTCCAACCTTTCCATTTTTCTGTTAGATTAAAGGCTTGCCTTGCTATATTTGGTGTGGATTTCTCCTTCCCTCTTTGCTGCACAGTGTTATGTTCCGCTCATCCATATCTCCTGTGTTTCTGTGCTAAAGAAGGCGGAATTTCAGCAGGAAAAAAAAAAAAAAAGGAAAAAAAAGGATTCTATTGTGCTCTGTATAATTTGAAAAACACCCTGTGGGATGAATTGTGCAATTTTAATATTCATTATCTCAAATGTAGACAACAGAGTAGACTGTAGTAGGAAAGACTGATTAGCAGATCACTGCATATAATTTTCTCAACTCAGCACATTATTTGGTGATAAGTGAGTAAAACAGTTTCTTGAAACCTGAATCTTTGGTATTCTAAAATGCAGTGTAACGCTGTGTGGGTGCCATCCTTCAGTAAACACATACACGGGAGCTCACGAGCCATGCATGGACAGAACTGACTTCCTTTGTAAGTCTTAGGCCTTAATGCTTAGAAGCTGAGACCAGGAGATTTCTGTTGCTCTCTCCAGCTCTAAATGAAAGACAGGCTCAGAAGGAAGAGCGGGAGGGGAGCATGCAATCAGTCCATAAAGTGAATGGTAATGTTTTAATTACAATTCTATTGTTATTCTTCCTATATGGCTGTTTGGGGTTGTGTAGTTTGCATATTCATTCCTTTCATTCTCACAGAGGTTTTGTTGTCGGGTTTTTTGTTTGGAAAAAGTTTGACTCCAAAAAGAGGCCAAAGTTTTCATTAACAGGCTATGAGGGAAAGAAAGAAGAAAGGGCTTTTTTCCCTGTATCCAAAGATTTCTGCAGGGTAAGGATACAAGGATAATTTTGAGGAAATAGAGATACAAAGATTTTTATTTTTTTTTAGACAAGAGACACGTGCAAGTCAAATTGTGCATAGCAGCAAGATTTGGGAGTATAATGAAATTTACCCAAGCAAAAAAACTCCCCTACCCATCACCCAATGCAATGAAAATGAACTGATAATTTTTGTAAAGCTGAAGTACTTGCAAGTTCCTTTTTTCATGTGAACCTTTCAATTCTGTTAAAAACTTCAGCACTACATACTGAGTTAATTCCTTTCCCATAGAATATATGCATTCACAATATTTTTTCTTTTTTCCTTATTAAAAAAAAATAAAAATTATTAGTAAATAATGTGGAATTCATAGCAGACTTCCAGCTCCTGCGGAAGAGTGAAGATGCTTTTGCTTCTCATAACCTTTGCATCTAAGGAAGTAAGTTGATCTCCTTGTAGAAACTCTATCAAACTACAACCTTCTTGACTAGCTCTTTACATTTTCCTGTCAGGCATTATTCTCATTACATGGGCACTTCTCAAGCTTTTGTGTCAGTATAGATTTGTTTCATAAGAACATGCTAAGACTGTGCAAAGCTGCAATGCCTTCCATCTCCATGGCTGCTTTGAGAGTAAATGGGATTCCACTTCTTGTTCTGAGGTCAGAACAGTGTTAGAGGTCTATCTTCAAGCCTAAGCCAACCTCAGATATTCTTGGGAGATACACCTGTGGTGGAGCAGACTGGGGTAGTGCATGAGCATAGACCAGGGCTTGGAAAACGGTGTTAAGGTTGATTTGGGGAACTTTTTCTTTCATTGTAGAGTTAAAGCCATAACAGCCAATTCAAGCTGCAGAGTTCTGATGCCTTTCCAGAATTATAGCGTTCTGTGCACCCACTACACACATACAGTCAGGGAGTAGGGGGAGTCCACTGCAGACTCCACTCATGTAAGCTGTCTCCAGCTGTCACTAGAGGTACTGGAAAACAAGTCACCATCACAGGTATTTCCTGCTGCCATCAGATGATGTGTAGTCACCTGGTTTTGCCAAGGATAAGAAAAGAACAGGCTGCAACAGCCAATATTTAATAAGTGCATCCTGAGATTTTTCAGGGTAATTTCCATATTTATACACAGTATATTTTAATATGTCTGTGCTTGCCCATCTGCTTTTTTCCTAACCTATGCTGTCTGTAGGTCTGAGAACTTTGGCTTTCCGTTGTGTTCTGTCTCACAGGTATGGTATAATGACAAACCAATTCCCTTGCTTCTCAGTTAATGAATAGTCTCTATTTTTTTTTCAGGCAAGAGTGTTAAAGAAAGCCTAGCTTTCTGCTATTAAAAATATTCAGTGATATTTATGACAGATTTTCCACTCCTTCTTTCCTGCTGCACATAATCTTCAAGATCATTAAAGGGAAATTCTGAGATTTTCCATGCTCAGTGCTAATGTAGCACTTGTTTCATAATGAAGCTTGAAATGGTGGGGTTTTGCTCTGCACATGATTAATGCTAAAGTCCACATCCTTATCTGATAGAAAACACCAAGAGCTCCACTGAAGTAAATGAAGTTAGGATAATTTGCATCGGTTGAGGATGTGGCCCTATATCTGGTTGACATTATCATGCCTGCTACAGTAAAGACACCAGCTGGGGTGGTGTTGTTTCATTCCTGTGTGGGGTAGGAAGGGCCTCAGTGGGGGAGAATGAAAGTGGAGAACAGCCATTGCTAGCACAAGCTACAAATGCGCTGCTTGAAGTATAAGAAGATTAAAATAAAAAGGAAAACTCACCATAACATAGTGAGAAGCAACTGAAAGGACGTGAACTTAGTGAGGTTGCTCCGCTTCATGTTACTCAGGAGGGATTAGTGCTCAGAACAGTTCCTTCAGCCCACGTCTGTGATCAGGGATGGGAAACTTCTCCCATGCCCTGGTGTTTTCAGGTCAAACTAAACTGCTTAGGGGCTGAACCTCAAAGACATATGGAGGCTCTAACTACTACTGTGCAAAATGCCCTGTTTCTCAGGTGGAGCTGGCAGGAACCAGTTCTTCAGCAGCTGCGGCTGGCTTTCTATTTGCATTTGGATGGAAACCAAAAGCTTGCTTTTCTTCTCTCCTCTCTGCCTTTGAATACAACTCTCTCTCCTTCTTTAAGCTGCCCTACTTCTTAAGCATTGATGCTGTTTACAGCACTGTAGCTACCTGATTCTGGGCTTTTGTTTCAGAACACTTGTGTCATAATATTCTCCACTAGAGGAGTCTTGCTAGAGGCATTGTCTCTCTCCTCCAGCCCCAAGGACAATGTATCTTGCCTCTGTGGCACAATAGAGACTTCTGGGATTGTCATTCTGTCCAGTATGACTGAAATAGCCGTGAAGTATGGTATGAATTTTTAGTAGGTTACAGCTATGTTCCTTGAGCTGAAGGAAGAGAGCCTGTACAGCAAAAGAAATAATATTTTTACTCAGCATATTTTTTTCCCCAAATAAATCTTTGCAGTAATTTTTCATTAGTAATCTTCAGTAAAATAAAACCTTATAAAGACTTGATCCAGCTGCTATTAAAATAAAAACAGAATTTCTATTGAATTGAGTGAGGTCAGCATAGGGCTCCAAGTGAAGGCCAATACAATTTTTAGTTCCTTCTCGCTCCTTCTTGCCTGATCTGGCAGTTACACATCAGAAAGTTGGCCAGCTGTGAGATGGAGATTCAAGAAGGATGGGTATGCCTCAGAATCCATTGCTCCAGCTGTCTCAGGCTGTTCTGGTGAGCCAGAGTTTTGTGCTCTTCAGCTTGGTAATAAGGAATTAGAAATGTGTGCTGAAATAGAAGCCAGAGTTCAGGGTGAGGACACAGAAGAACAAAGCCCATTGGAATGGGAGAATTATAAATGGCATGAACAAAGCATGATCATTTCAAATACGTGCCAAATGTGACTTGTGATTGTCACTTTTCTTGAGAATACAGCCCTGCTACCAGAAAAAAAAGAGAAGCTGGTGATCTTTTTGGAATTAAAGGTTTAGGATACGACATGGGGAATTAGACATGGGCCTCCTGGTTAGAAGAATGTTCTGAAAATGAGCCCTGTCTTCAACTCAGTTGGGATGTTTTTTTCCACTGAAGAACAGGCATAAATGTCATTGAGGAGGAGAGTAGATCTCACGATTGGAAACTTTTGATGTTATTTTCAAATGCAGTTGTAAAACTGAGTGATGACATGTAGGTGTCCGCACCCAAAATATTTACAAATCAGACTCTGTGAGTGCCTAGTTTTTATGGAGTCAATAAAATATTGCTTAGTATTTCCTGTAAATTTTTAGGCCTCAGTAATTATTATTAAAAAGAGGGAAAACAGGGAACTGTAGCAGAGCTGACAGTATAATTCATAACCCTTACTTTTTTACCATGGCCTTACAGTAAAAACACTGTTTGGTAACATTCAGGCCCCTTCAACAATCTTCAACAATCTTTATCATAAGCATGTACTTTTGGCAAGTAGCTCCACTGAAGTTTGGGCAAGTGATGATGACATTTGGAAGTCAGAAGGAGCATAAGATTGTAAAACACTGTGCAGAACACCAAATTGGGCCTCACAGCATCAAGTCCCAGTGCACTATTTTAAGTGATTTGGATTCTCTCAGCCTCAGTTTCCTTCAGTGTAAGCAGTGATTATCTCCTTTGTGAAGTTCTTTGACATCTGCAGAAGAGAAGTACTGTAAAAAGACTTGCTTGCTATTATGCATATCTTTGAAACAAAGCTTAATGCTTCAGTGCTTTGCTGGGTTGGGGTGAATGTGCTTAGCACTTTGTGTGATCAAGCTGTAGATTACATAGGCAGTGGTTTGTAATAAGAGCCTTATCAGTAACAAAACCCCTTCTGTCATTATCAGACAAGCAACAATCGTATTTTAAAATGGTTGCCAAATGTGTTTATT